TGCAATTATGATACACTTTTTAAATAGTGCAATTACGGTACCCTTTTTTAAATAGTTCAATTACGATACGCTTGTTAAATAGTGCTATTACGATACACTTTTTAAATACTGCAATTATGATACACCATTTAAATAGTGAAATTACAATACACTTTTTAAATAGTGCAATTACGATACACTTTTTAAATAGTGCAATTACAACACACTTTTTAAATAGTGCAATTACGACATACTTCATTAATGATATAAATAGGACACATTTGGTTAATAATACAATTACGATACATTTTCGCGCAGCTAACCGCCCTCAGTTCCTTCCCCCTAGTTGTCAACCCCCGTTCCCTGTCTTCTTCCCTCGAATCCACGAGCTTCTGCCGGGCGTACGACGATTGCTATACATAGACTGTGCTCTACTTTAAGACGATCACGCGAAGATTTTATTTAAAATTAAACCACCCCGACCCCGCGACCCCGGGGTTCCTCACTCTCCCCCCACTCAGTCGTTATTCGAAGCCGAGTATTTTATCAGGCGAACAACGATTGTTCGGCGAAACGTTAAGAGCCGTTGAATTTCGCCGAAACAGCGCCGCGAGAACTCGGCTAACGATCGCTCTAACGACCAAACTTGCGCGTGAATAAAATCATCGGTAGACCAGCGGCAGGCCGGTGACGCGTTCAATGCCCCGAAACCTAACGTGTCCGCTCCGTCAACGTTCACACGCACCAATGTTTCTGGAATACAGGCCAATTTGCCGGCCCTTCGACCCTGTCCGACCCGCGGATTCCCGGCCATTTGCGGCGACAAAGTTTCCGCCGGCGACAGAAGCGACCGTCTTTGCAGAAACGATGCAAAGAACCGCCCCGTGATCGCTTCGGATAGCAAATTCGCGATTTCTAGATACAGCGAATCGGAATACGGACCGGTTCGAGATCGTTCTATTTGGGTTTATCGCGGCCGCGAAAGAGGCACCCAGCCGGCAGATGATAAAAAAAAAGATACGACAGCGTGCACAATTTCGCGTGGATCTCGGCGCAGTAAAAAGTTGCGTAAAGTTTGACGAGGTTTTTGAAGCCTGACGGGGGAACTCGTATCGGGGCAAACATCTCTGTTTAGCTGCAGTTTCTGTAAATTAGTTCGTAATAATCTGTATTTGCACAGCATCAACATTTGCGAGGCTTTAACGGCAACGCTGGTACAATGATAACGGTGTTTGCGTATCCGGGGCTTTGTCAAGCATCCACGCGAGACCGTGTTTCGAGCGGAAAAAAGGTGTGCGTGCTCCGTAAAAAAAAAGGAAAAAAAGAAAGAAGAAAAGAAGAGAACGGCTTTTTAAATATGAGAGAATCCTATCTACTTTATCTCAACCCGTTGTTTCGTTCTTGGAATACGTTGTTCAGCTGCTCTCAGCGCTGACAACGTTTTTCGACGACACGGCCGATCCCAAGTTTTACAACGAAGCTGGTGGAAGCATAGAATTTTCTTGCGCCACGCGGGAAACGTCGAAATTACTCCTTCCGTATTCCGGTGAACAGGGGTGGTATCGTTGTTCGTTATCGGGGAGGGAACGATCGTTCGAGCCGACGTACTCGAAACAACGGACGTCGAGAGAAAAAAGAGAAAGAAGAAGTGACGAAAAATTCCGTCGGAGAATGCATGCACGGGGGCATATTCTAGCGATGATTCACAAACGAGTACTGCAACGCAACGAAAGCCACGCGCGATCCTTTTTCGAGATTAACTTCGTCGGCCCTCTTCGGCCTTCAGCGTCCCGTGCAGGGGATAGTTTACAAGAAATTTCGTCATTTTTCCCTCGAATTTGCCGCAACGACCAGAGCCGCTGCCGTCGCTTGTTCGAAATTTGCCGTATCACGGAACGCGTTTCATCGGCGCGGTTCGCGGGACGTTGAACCGTCGAACGCGACGCGCGGCGCGCCATGGTTCCGGGCAGCATTAAACAAAAATTAATTACGGGAAACTGTAATCGGGGAGAACGGATACTTCAGACTCAGACGGATAATCATTAACGCGATATCCGCCCCGAAAATGAACGTCGCGTCTTTAATGCGCGCGTTTACCGCGCCACGGGAATCCGTCCGTGAATACGAATACCGTCATTATTATTGCCGAGGCAAGAAAAAAAAGAAAGAAGGAGAAAAAGAAGAGGAGATTCGAACAGGTAACTTAACGACAATAAAGCGACCTCGGTGGGAAGCTTGATTGCACGATAATTAAGACGATAACTGGGTCGCCGTTCCACCGGCAATTATTTGAACACGGTCCGGAGAACCCTCGACAAAAAAGGGGAAATAAATAGGACCTACGCGAGAGTTAACCCTTTATTCCGATGCGAATGCTTTACTCTGACGCCACCCCCGAGCAAGTATCTCCGATTTCAGTGTTCTTCCAACCTCTGTCCTCCGTCCTCCTGCCGCCAGCCTTCATCCCTAGTTCAGTTCCGTTCCGTTTCGTTCCGTTTCGTTCCGTTTCGTTCCGTTCCGTGTACCTCTCTCGTGTTGCTCGATTCCCGATGCCCCTGACCCGTGACCAACCGAGTCAGCTTGCCAGAACTTCGGAGAAATAGACGTTCAAACTCGCTTTCCTTTTTCGTCCACCGCCCGACGGTCTTGTTCCCCGTTGCCGACGAAACCGCGAGGCTCGCGATATACTCGACGGGTCAAAAATCACCAGTTTCTTGCTTCGAGAGACTAGCAGCAACCCTTCCGGAGTTCGAACTAGTTAGAACACGATCCACAACAACACTCCCAGGAATTCGAACTATTTCGAGCTGTTGGAACTTCGAACTGTACCAAACGCAGCGGGATCTCGATTATCCGTGATAAGTGGAGTCATATAAATGTTCGTACAATGGAGCGGTTACTTACTTACAGAGTGGCAGTTTTGATTTTGATCGAGTTGTACTGTAAATCGTATTATACAGGGTATGTCAAGGTTTTAATGTTCAAACTTTGTCAGTGTATTCTGTGGCACGAAGTAAGAAAAAATTGTTATGTAAACATAGGTCATACAGAGCTTTGTTAAGAAGTTATAACAAAAATTCAGAATAGGTATAGTAATCAACTTGCTGTTACTGCGAGCATTGGCTTGAAAAACATAACATTTTTTTCTTACTTTGTGCCATAGAATATACTGACAAAGTTTGAACATTAAAACCTGGGACAACCTGTATATTGATTGTCCAAGGAGCGAGCTCATTATATATGAAACGTATTTGGACAATAGAGAATTCTGATATCGGAGGACCGGATAATTGAGCTTCCAATGTACTTCCTAATTATGCCAATATATATAGAAAATTATTATGTTATATATAGAAAACCTCCTGCGGTCATTTTCAGTTACAATAAATCCTTATCAACGAGGATGCAGGAATCTTTTAGAAGAGAAATCAATTTGCGTAAACTTTTATCCTCCTTCAAAGCTTTAACATATCAGTCTTTTTTTGTTATTAAGACCGTGTAAAAATAATTACTACCCTAGCGAATGACTACTGCACTATAATTAATCATTTTTTGGTGTATTTTTCTGTTAGATGTCGAAATCAAATGAGAAATCTAATCACTGCGCTAATACTTTATATTATGTACTCTAATAGGTTTTCTCTTTTATAAATAAATAAATAAATAAATATATATGTATATCTGCTTTGGAGAACAGAAGACTAATAGGCGACACGCTATTTCTCAACAAAATGATTAACAGCGTTATCGAATGTTCACCGCTGCTTGGTTCGGTAAATTTCAACACCTGTTCTCGTCCTTCACGCAAAAATCTTGTACATTCAAATGAGATACTTCAACAACGAATACGAGATTCAAGGAGGATCCGTATGTATCCTAATAAAGTCTCTCTCTCTCTCACTCGCAAGCTTAATTTGTTGACAAATAAAAATATTAAATAACATTCAACTTTGTTAGGCGTCGTCAATTTTCGACTCTTTCGAATTTCATCGCACCGTCGCATTTATTCTACCCGCTCGAATAAATAAATAAATCGATACCACATTCTTATAAAACTGATAGAAAATCTCTTCGCGAATTATTCGAACAATTTGACGAAATTATGTGGAACACAAAACTCGAGCGGATCGTAAATTCGTATTTTCACCGCTTCAATAACGACAGGTCGATAAAAAAAGAAAAAGAGACATTTCGGGCCCTCGCGTCGGTAACCCAATATCCACTTCAAACTTGCGTTTAAAATCTTTTTTATGGCCCCATAAAAAAGGAAATAGAAGAAATAAAAGGGTTTTATGATTAACCCAACAGCCGGGGCTGGATTTAATAGGTTAATATTACTGATTAGCCGGGCGGAGGTTATGTGTACGCGGGCCGGTTAAAATGCATCGAATTCCGCGGAAGTGTTTTATTTGTTTACCCGGACCAACGTAGCCGCGTGACGTCATTAGGGGGAGGCGGGGGATTTCTACACGGTTTCGAGCACGGGTTCCGCGAATCGTCGACGAAAACAATGCATGAGAAATTCGAATCGCTCAAACTTCCGCGCGATAAAATCTTCAAACACGCGTACACTCCTTCCGAAAAAGTTTCAATCGGCGCGTCGCTTTTCCAAAATGGTAGACGATCGGTGAATCGACATTACCTCGAACATTTCTTCCAACATTCATAAGAAACCGCTGTTTCTGCGCGTACTCGACGTTTCCCGTGTAAACAAATCAATGAATTTCCAAGTCCGGTACACAAATAAATCACGGTAAAATCAACATCGGTCGCGTCGACGTTTCAGAGCCATCGAGCTCTCGCGGCACGGGAACGAGAATCGATAGCCGCGGCGTGCAGCTGTTGCCAATACAGCGGGAATCGTATCGACCGACGGCAAGATCGCGAACCTGCGCGAACCAGAGATCGAACGCGGATCGGTGACCCACGAGTCCACCAGAGGTCGAGCATCATCGACGGAGACGGAAAGATTAGAGAGACAGAGAAGAGAGAGAAAGCGAATCGTGTGGACACACACTTACCTTGAGTATCACGAAATCCATGTCGCGGTGTCCCGGTGGTGGACGCGTCGAGTCGTCGAATGTCGTGGCGCGTGGATGACGTTTACGCGGTGCGAACCGACGGAACGCAGATCACGAAGGTGAAGAACGAGCCCGAACGCACCGGGGTTAGCTGCGAGCGGTCGCGGCCGAAGTCGGATCAAGGAGAAGTAACCGAAGAAAAAGAGTGCCGGGTGTGCGAAGATCGAGCGAAACGGAGAGAGCAGTTTTCTGTGGTGCGGTATATAAACGCGCGGCACTCGACACTTCTTTTCCACTTGTTCGCGTGGGTTCGAGGGAGAGACGAGGATGAACGAGAACGAGACCGAGACCGAGACCGAGCACTCACACGCGGCGGCACGGGGCGGCTCGATCGTCGTCGTTCCGATGATCTAGCATCGCTTCGGTTTCTCGCTTCGGAGCGAACGCGAGGTTAGCCGAACGAACCTCTGGCGTTTGTGTTCGAGCGTCCGAGAAGCGTGTACGCGAGAGAAAAATGAAAGAAACCGGCGGCGGCTACGGCAACGGTTAACTGGACACACGAGGTTTCCGAGATACGATGCGCGTACACGACCAGACGCGTTCGAACGCGCGAAGAACAGTGCGGCCAACACGCGTGGCGGCTCGGCGTCGACTGAGTGTGACGCCGGGCGCGCGCCACGAGTGGGAGGCGTGTCTCGAGTGCGCGACCAAACGAGACGGAACGAGACGGAGCGAGAGGGGTCGAGGCGGGTTGAGACGGAGACGGACGAACAAGACCGAGGTGGGGATGCCGAAGAACGACAAGGACAGCCGGGAAACCGAGAACGGCATTTGCAACGGGAGCAACAGAGACGGCGTGGAAGGGATGAGCGACCGACCGTCGGAGACCACAGTCGCGTTGCCTTGCGACTATAGCGCGAGTCGAGAGCCGAGCCGTCAGAGAAGAGGCGAGGAGAGGAGAGCAGCGAGAAATGGATTCAGAAGGAACAGACGCAAGCGACAGGGATTGAACGAAACGGAATGGAATGGAACGAGATAGCTCGACTGACTCGTGGGCTTGCCGGCTTGTGGGCTCGTGGGGACAGGCGAATGACACAAAGAGCGAAAGAGAGTTACACAAATGCTGATTATCCGAAAGTACCGTTTGCAACGCTACCGTCGTGATAGTGCCAGGTATGCGCCACTGGCGATAAGTCCAACCCGCGCACACGATACGCATCGCCACTCTTTCTCTCCGTCTCCGTTCCTCTCCTCCTTCTCCTCCTCCTCTCTCAATCACTCGCTCCCACATTCTCTGTCTTTCTATTTCTCTCGGCGCGCGATACGTATGCATTTCATCTCTCTATTTCAATTCTTTGCGGGTCGAATGATTTTTACACGACGACGCAGACAGCTTAAGATGATTCACGACCCGCCATTTGCCATAACAAAGGGAACTCGTCCATGGGTTGTTTCGAGGCGAATGTTTCGCGTCGGAAACACTCGAGCCTGCTTGTTCTCTGCGACGAGGATGTGCTCGAGGATTGCAACTAGATGCGCACTGTCAGCCACAATGAAAATTGTAACGGGGAGCGTCGTTGGTAACGGTGCATCGCGAATTGGGTTACACAACCTGGAACGATTTATTCCCGTTTGTTTTTCGTTTTCGTCGAGCAGGAGTTACAAGATTCGTGATTTTTACAGGTTATTTTTTTTTAACCGTCAGACGTCTTCGCGGGATTTTTTTCTCTAGCGGGAAAATCGCATTTGACGAAGCAAAATAGACGATCAAAGGTTTCGGCTATTTTATAATATATAATATATAATGTGATTATATAATATAATGTATTATATAATATATAATGTGATTTTGTATGCCCGTCAGACGGAGAGAAAATCGCGGATTCAGCGGTTCTTACGATTTTTACAGCGACCGACCGCAACTTAAAAATCAGTCGGTGGTGCACCCGTCGATTAAGACGGTAATTAAACGATTGAATGGACTCGATCGATCGGTAAAATTCATGGAACTTCTGCGGACTCCGCCAGAACGCCGTGCTGCGGCGAAATGTTTTCTCTTTCGAATCCAGGTAATAACGATCATTCATAGTTTTGTGGAGAAGTAACGGTTATTTATATATAATATCAATTATTATTCGATTAGGTGTCAGCCTTTTATACCATATATTGGAAAATTGCTAGAAGAATCTGGAAACATGTTAACACGTGAGACGGTTCCTACAAGGAAACAGGATGTCGAATTCGTTCGCGGGAGGATATTAATTCGACGAGATACAGATCGCAGAGCACCTTGTTACATGATTAAATGTAAGACGTAAACTCGCCTCCTCTTTGTAGTCATTACGTTCACGCTGGATGGTGATGGAATCATAATTACAACGCGATATGGGAATGAGAAAACACCAAGGTATGTATTTGCGTTCTATTCATTACGCCATACATGCGAAAATTCGAACAACAAATGGCTTGCCGGAACCTCGTTAATCACTGAACATTCGAGTAATTAACGCTGAATCTACCAAGACGATCAAAATGATTGGTTTCATATTTTTTATTTTTGAGTTGTTCGAGTTATAAGATCCCCTTCACGGGTAATGAATCAATATCTTAAGAATGATTGGAAGTCTAAATACATTCGCTTTCAATGCTCTGTGGGTTTAACGTTGTATTTTCTGTTTTTCAGCAGAGTTACCTGCTCAAATGTATCGCTGCTAATTCCACGTAAAAATTATTTAGTCGACTAAATGGCAATGTGTCTGGAGTTGACATCGAACGGTCTAAAATGGAAGAAGGAGAAACAAAGCCCCGAGATGGATGATAAAAGATAGAAGCGAGAGAAGCGCAGCATGGTCGAGTGGGAAATCCGTGTGGCGAAAGGACGAGCGAAGACGACGCGGTTTGTTGCGCCGCGAGTGAAATGAAGATGGAAGAAGGACGAGAGAGCCGAGGAACCCTCAACAGAATGGGATGGAAAGGGCGAGGCGGTGGGGGATTTGCTTTTCTTTTATTTACCTGGCCGACAACCGCTCCCCTCCACCCACACACGCACACAATCTCGGGGACGCGTACGCGTGCATGTGCGCACCTATGCATGCACGCGTCTCTCTCTCTCTCTCTCTCTCTCTCTCGCTCGCTCGCTCGCTCTCTCTACGGTTACAAATACACGCGTGTCTTTCACCTTTGTTTCCATTCCGACACCGCAGACCGTCGTCAATTACCGTCGCGTTTCGGTCAGCCGCGATGTCGCATCGCGTTACCGGATGTCGGCGTCAAGGTTGCATTTCTGCATCGGATGAGCCTCGACGCTTGTGCGCCCGACGAGCGACGAGCAACGCGCGACGACGCGTCCACGCCAACGCGGCTCTCGTATTTGCAAACGAATCCCGCCATAGAATTAACTTTTACACTTTTTTACCTCTGTGCGGGGCCGCCGTGGGACCGGATGGGAGTTTTTACGGTCGGCTCGCGTCACGTGTCGCTTTTTTCTGACCGGGAGAACCTTACCATCTGAAAATTCTAATTTAAATCCGAATTCCCTAGCTCGGTGATTCTCTAGCCTTCGAAGCGACTGAAATCTTTCCTTCAAAAATAATTGCACGCAGCATCTTTGCAGTGGTTTTCCAGGCTCGGTCAATGGCTCGGGGTAGATTTTTATTTAGCGTTTCTCGGTCATCTTAACATTTGTTTAAAAGCTTTTCATGCGGCCGCGGGAGACCGTAGCTCGGCGATTGAGATTGAGGGCTAACGGGCTGATGCGACGAGCATTTACTTTTCGAAACTCAATCATCGACTACTTAGAGCAGAGGTAGACGCAACTTTACTGTGAGCGCGTTACGTGACTACTCGGGTGTCAGGATTATGGTAGCGAGTGCGTCGCGCGGCTTCGAGGAAGGGGGCAATCAAACAGAAAATTCATAATCACGATCTTAACAAGAAAAGTTGTATAAAAAGCGACTGAAAAGTTGCCGAAGTTCCCGCCGCGCCGTCTCGTTTGTAATCCCAACTCTCCTCAACCCTTCCTCATCGCGGCGCTCTCGAAGCCTACTCATAATTACCAAAGTTAATTTGCGAATCGCAATTTAATTGGCCGGTTCTTGAAGGCTCCTTAAACTTCGTCTTTCGCCGAGAGGGCGATTCCCCACGAAGGTTGCCGCAGTCTCGATTCGCGTGAGAAAGAGAGACAGAGAGAGAGAGAGAGAGNATTCGAGTAATTAACGCTGAATCTACCAAGACGATCAAAATGATTGGTTTCATATTTTTTATTTTTGAGTTGTTCGAGTTATAAGATCCCCTTCACGGGTAATGAATCAATATCTTAAGAATGATTGGAAGTCTAAATACATTCGCTTTCAATGCTCTGTGGGTTTAACGTTGTATTTTCTGTTTTTCAGCAGAGTTACCTGCTCAAATGTATCGCTGCTAATTCCACGTAAAAATTATTTAGTCGACTAAATGGCAATGTGTCTGGAGTTGACATCGAACGGTCTAAAATGGAAGAAGGAGAAACAAAGCCCCGAGATGGATGATAAAAGATAGAAGCGAGAGAAGCGCAGCATGGTCGAGTGGGAAATCCGTGTGGCGAAAGGACGAGCGAAGACGACGCGGTTTGTTGCGCCGCGAGTGAAATGAAGATGGAAGAAGGACGAGAGAGCCGAGGAACCCTCAACAGAATGGGATGGAAAGGGCGAGGCGGTGGGGGATTTGCTTTTCTTTTATTTACCTGGCCGACAACCGCTCCCCTCCACCCACACACGCACACAATCTCGGGGACGCGTACGCGTGCATGTGCGCACCTATGCATGCACGCGTCTCTCTCTCTCTCTCTCTCTCTCTCTCGCTCGCTCGCTCGCTCTCTCTACGGTTACAAATACACGCGTGTCTTTCACCTTTGTTTCCATTCCGACACCGCAGACCGTCGTCAATTACCGTCGCGTTTCGGTCAGCCGCGATGTCGCATCGCGTTACCGGATGTCGGCGTCAAGGTTGCATTTCTGCATCGGATGAGCCTCGACGCTTGTGCGCCCGACGAGCGACGAGCAACGCGCGACGACGCGTCCACGCCAACGCGGCTCTCGTATTTGCAAACGAATCCCGCCATAGAATTAACTTTTACACTTTTTTACCTCTGTGCGGGGCCGCCGTGGGACCGGATGGGAGTTTTTACGGTCGGCTCGCGTCACGTGTCGCTTTTTTCTGACCGGGAGAACCTTACCATCTGAAAATTCTAATTTAAATCCGAATTCCCTAGCTCGGTGATTCTCTAGCCTTCGAAGCGACTGAAATCTTTCCTTCAAAAATAATTGCACGCAGCATCTTTGCAGTGGTTTTCCAGGCTCGGTCAATGGCTCGGGGTAGATTTTTATTTAGCGTTTCTCGGTCATCTTAACATTTGTTTAAAAGCTTTTCATGCGGCCGCGGGAGACCGTAGCTCGGCGATTGAGATTGAGGGCTAACGGGCTGATGCGACGAGCATTTACTTTTCGAAACTCAATCATCGACTACTTAGAGCAGAGGTAGACGCAACTTTACTGTGAGCGCGTTACGTGACTACTCGGGTGTCAGGATTATGGTAGCGAGTGCGTCGCGCGGCTTCGAGGAAGGGGGCAATCAAACAGAAAATTCATAATCACGATCTTAACAAGAAAAGTTGTATAAAAAGCGACTGAAAAGTTGCCGAAGTTCCCGCCGCGCCGTCTCGTTTGTAATCCCAACTCTCCTCAACCCTTCCTCATCGCGGCGCTCTCGAAGCCTACTCATAATTACCAAAGTTAATTTGCGAATCGCAATTTAATTGGCCGGTTCTTGAAGGCTCCTTAAACTTCGTCTTTCGCCGAGAGGGCGATTCCCCACGAAGGTTGCCGCAGTCTCGATTCGCGTGAGAAAGAGAGACAGAGAGAGAGAGAGAGAGAGGGGTGAGGGGGAGCGAAAGATGGAGAGAGCGTGTGAGAAAAAGAGCATGGAATCGAAAATTTCGATCGTATCGGGGCATCTGGCATCGGACCTCGGACCGAATGCACGTGGGATTCGAATGGCGAGGGGACGTCGTAAAAATCATTGAAAACGAATCTGCTCGAAGAAGATCATCTCTGGCGGACAAAATTCGCCGCATGAATCCGAGACGACGGTGGCTTTTCACCCGCGAAACTCGATTCCGAGGGACGCGTGCGCGTGCTCGTGCTCCTGCGGTTCGATGCTCATCGCTGATGTAATAATTAACGCGAGCAGCGAGACCGTCGATGACCGGTCACGCCGGAATAAATCGAAGCAATTCGTTCCAATAGATGCCGATGTTTACAATATCCCCGATGCCGACGACGACGACGACGGAACGTAGATCGATCATGGTTGCGTTGGACAGACGGGCGAAGAACGACAACGCTCCCAGATCGAACAATTTCGTGCGACGAGCAGCCATTTGCAAAACAACGACGGTATTATTACGTATAATACACCGCGGATCTTTATCCAAATACCGATGATTACGAACGTTTATTTTTTTCCGCAGATTTTCTATCCTCCATGGAGCGTCTTCGGCTTTCTTCCTCGTTCCAGTTCTAATCAACCAATTGCGGTTTGCTTTGTTATCTTCGGTCTACCAACTGCCAGCCTCATAGATGGATTAGCAAGTAAACAGACTTGCGAGATGGCAATTGCATTATCCACCGGTCCGGCGCTGTTATTTATCCGAACTCATCGATCTTTCTTGTCTCCTATCTTCATCCCTTCTGCGCCGAACACCGTTGCCTCCTCCAGTATTCTGCCGTTTCGAACTAAGAGTCGTTATTTTTCTCGACGACAGGTAATGGATGTTCAGCAGCGCCCGGTGGTATCTAGTATCTAGTGTCTACCGTTTGTATATGTACCTAAGCGCAATGCTATCTGTGTAGTAAGCATGTTTCGTAGATACGGGCGCAAAGATAACTACATAGTTCGACAACGACGACGACGACGACGACGACATCACCACGAACAGATAGGGGGACATTTCCCCGTAGTAATTCGGTTTTAATCAGGGAGCCCTAACAGACCAGGGAAGCTGAAATGTCTTTTATCACACACGATTCTATGCCGACGTAACGATTAAAAAGTTCTCGGAGAAACTGATTACATTGCATATCGGTGTTGAACAACGTCTGCCAGCTTCGGGACCTTTCCGTTCGCTTGGTCGTTAGGCACTCAAATTAATTACTGCGTTGGAAGTTGAAAGATAACGAAATGGGAATCGCGGTGGAGGAAACCGAATCTTTCTGCGATGAAACGGTGACCGTGGGACGCGGTGACGCGCGATCGAACCGCGACGACTCGTGCTCATGCGTGACGGGGTTGCAGGAATCGAGAAAAGGGAGGAAAAAGTGAAGAAAAAAAGAAGAAGAGAGAAAAGAGGGTGGAGGAGGTGGAGGACGACGACGACGACGACGAAAGGAGAAAAAGAAACAGGGAGCGTAAAGGGAAACGAAAAATGCTCGGTAGATCACAGACCGCCTAATTAAAAGACTTGCCGTCACGCGGAATCTTCTTTCTTTCGTTTCACCGGGAGCTGGTTACGGCGAATCTCAGGAAACCGACGTCTCTCTCTCCTTTTGTCCTGTCTTTAACCCTGTCTCGCGCACGTATCTATGAACATCCGTTCGTGCTTCTTTGGTAATGAGTTGGGGTGTCTTCTTTCAAGCGTTTGTTGCCCCTTCCCGGCCGGTGGCCAGCGGCTGAAAGAAACGTAGAGACCCGAGGAGACATCGATATTTGCGCAAAGCACCTACACGGTTGTGTGCCGTGCGCGGCGCGTGTCACGCTTCGTTTCCCAATTTGTGTGCCGTCCGCTTCACTGGAACAACGTCGTCATCCGCGAAGCGTGCAGAATGAGCTAAAAGCGATGGATCGTCAGGGTCGAGCATTCTACCGCTGCTATCGGCGACTCGAAAGGAAATCAATTTCCAGTCACGGTGCGACTTGTTTTCAAATAATCCGCGCGCGTGGAATTCGCGTGAAGATCCGCGATCCATCGATCACAATCTTTTGCGACTACAGGCACCGTAGTTATCCGAGGTGTTAATTGCGCCGTGCTCGCGTTTATTGCGGGACAAATCGGCCCTCGTTCTTTGGAAAATTGGAAGTACTCGTTTAAACCGGTGATTCCAGCGACTTTGCCCGTTGCGCGAGCTGCGATAACGCGTACGTGGAGCTCGTTTAAATGGTAATTTAAACGGCTCCGGGATAATGCGAAGACTGTGTCCTTCCTCCGACGATGGTCTCCCCTTCGGCAGTGGAAGGGAATCAGTATCCGACAACGGGAATTCAGAGCGCGCGGAAGAGCGAGCACCCTTCTAAAGAGCAATACGCGGCCGTGTACCGGCGCGGCGTGTCGCGGCGTGTTGCGGCGTGTCGCGACGTGTTGTGCCGTGAAGCTGTTCGCCGCAGCGCGTTTCTACACGCGCGCGCGCGCCCGCGCATTGAATGGGCGTCGGGCACAGGAGGATAAATTAAAGAGGTGTTTGTCCGCTATCACCCCTGCCGCTCCCCTCCCCCTTTTTCCACCGTGTGTGTCGGATTAAAATCATCCTGTCTTTAATAATTACACGCGGCCGAATGCGCTAAATGAGGCGCGCGTCGCGACGCCTGTCGCTTTTTGATAATGTTATTTACCGCTCCGGTTTACAACGGGCCACCGAACCGAGCAAATACGCTCGAATTACGCGATGACATTGTGCCCGGCTCCAGAATGGATAGGGAGCATAATGCCCGCGGGTTTTCCCGGCAAACTTTACGCTCGCGGCCTGAAAGGGAAGAGGAGCCCAGCCCCGTTCATTGTAGGATCGCCCCGTGAAAGATACGTATAGGTGTCTCTGCGTGCAAACAAAAATAAAAAAAAAAAGAAGAAAGAACAGCAGAATGAACCGCGACCGACCGCCCGAGCTCTGCTCTTTTCGTGTCTGACTCGACTTATTTGTTCGAGCGCCGCAGGAAACACTGCGCCGCAGCGAGATCTTGCTTTCACTCATGACCGCTCCGTCCGCGCTTTGTCCTCGGCCAGTCCGTTAATTAAGTAAAAAAGAAGAATGGCAAGAAACCTTGTCGCACCCTTTTTATATTATTAACTTTTAATTCATTCATGTACAATTCCAGAAACAACCGCTATCGTTACACGTAGAAAGAACGGAAAACAATGGGGGGAATAGAAATGGTTTCGCAGTGTGAGATTCACAGATTCATAGCACTCTCGAATAGCTCCAGCATCCTCTTCATCTCCTTACTGGAAAAAAAGAACGTACGGAAGTAGAAGGTCAGTAAAAAGAGTAAAACGACGGCAAATGTTTATTCCACTTGAATGTCCCCTTCAGTTGCCATGCTTGAAAAAAGAAAAAACAGATGTGACCATGAACCGGACTTTTGGTCATCCAAATTGAAATTTCACTAAGCAGTTACTGAAGAAGATATTTTAGTGAGGAATCGGAGTTTTTCGATACTCGCACTTGTTCAGCTAATTTATACACTGGTCCCATAGATTTCGATAACTCCTCGCATTTCGCCATTAATTGGTACATCGACTTAATATTGTGATCTATCGCGTCGCACGTTTTGCATACCGCGTCTCTGTACGTTTCCAAACATCCGACCGTCAACGCCGATGCCTGAAAAATTATTTATCCGTCGATCTTATTTTGTTTCTGTCGCTAATAAACGTTCAGTTAGTTTCCGCTAACGCCGCAAAATACGCCATCGTCATTAGCCGGTAAAGTTACCGGAAATCAGTCTACGGTAGCTTTTAAACGTACCGCTGCACCTTTCGTCGCGTATCTGTTACGTTAGCGAAAAGCAATAACTTGAAAAATGAGACGATTCATTTACACTGTGTAGAATCGCGGCTAAATTTTCCGTCAACGCGTCGACCGATGTCGCAACCTTCCTGGCCTCCATTTCCAGCTCGTTTAAAATATTATGATCGAGAAGTGGTAGCTGCGGCGTCAGTGCCTGCCTGTACAAACAAGGAGTCGAGCTACGGGAGCCTGGAAACGACGGGGTCTCCCCCTTTTTCGTCACCGGGCTCGACAGTTTAATTTTATTTTCTAAATCTTCCGCGACGAACAACACCATGTCCCCGTCCTGCATCACGGTCCCTTCGAGCTGCAAATACCCGATGGCTTTATGATAACTCGGAGGATCCAATTCCTCGTCCTCGACAGGACTAGTCTCCTCTCTGTTCTTTAAGTTCAGCTGATCCGGCCTGCAGCCGGCCGCGTTCATCTTTTCTAAACTGTCCTCCAAGAATTTTGTACCGTCTATGTCCGGCGAATCAATCAACGATCTCAGCTCCGAGATCGGCGGTGACGACTGCGAATCGAACGATATTTCGGAGTAAGACGCTGTCATCTCGTGCAGCTGAAACGATCAAAGTGGTCAACGTTTCTAGTATTGTCGCCGGTGATTCGGGAGAAGATGACTTCGAAAGTAAAAGCGAATATAGACCGAATGCTAAACTATAAACACAACCTAGCAACTCCAACCTTACTCTATCTTCATCGTAGTCGATAGCAGTGCTCTTTTCACTGCGTGTTGGTAAGGGCTTTGCGTGTGTTTCGCTCTCTTCCGAGTCCATGTCTGGTCAGTGATTTGTACTTTTTTGTTTCTCCTGCAGCTAGATCACACTGTCCAATGCCACTGACATTTTTCGACCACGGAATAACAACCTATGACAACTATCGATCACCTCGTGACTTATACCAGCGGCTAACGGTGTCCAAAGTTGTCTTCCGGAACACAAAACGGTGCCCCACGATGGTGGCGGTCGGCCGCGAGTGTACCAGATACTCGGGAATTGACGCGCGTCATTCAAACCATAGTATTTCAGATTACGTAATACAATTGTTTTTCGTTCACGAATCTCTCGCTATTTGTAATAGTAACAAGTAACAGACTCTTCTACGATTTTTGAAAAAATATGCAAGATCAGTGGTAAGATCTTATTGTTGCTCGCAGGCCCGACAACTGTTGCATTGCTATGCCACAAAGAATGCGCTAAAAAATCCCTAGATCTAGTTCCATGCTCACTTTCGCGTTTGCCCGTGTTTACATTCCTCTCGCGAATATTCAAGGGTTAGAAGGTTAGAAAAATTAATAGCTGGAAGTAATCGTAGAATGTGAACAAACATGAATGCAATATGACTTGCTTGTGATTGTTGAGTTCGATTGCCATTCTTTTTTTCTAATGTCAAATGTTGAGTTGCATTCATTTTACGACTAAGACGTCAACAACGCGGTGCACCGAATTGGTTAAGTGTCCATTTGTTTGAAACATGACGCATTTAAACGTACCGCTATTATTTTTTACGATTTCTTTTATTATCGAGACGGTGTCTCCGCACAATGATTTCTTCGACGAGGAGTTAATGTTGAAACCATTATCGAGCAATCATGTTTACGCGTACTTTCAATTCACTACCGTGTGGGAGGCGCCGAAAGAAATAAAGACATGTAAGCCAAAAAGACACAACAAAGCTATTGTTGCTAATTAAAAATGTTATATATAGTTATATCTTTTATATGTACACATTTCAGTACAACATTCCCATTTATTTCCAAGAGGGCTTGGAGAAATTATAAGTCGTCATGGTGTAGACGAACTACATCTCACTTTAACCAAAGGATTATGGAATTACCAAAAATGGGGTTATCCCTACCATGATGCAGGTCCAGGTGCAGAAATCACAACTTGGTTTAATAAAGATGTTGTCAAGTAAGCTGCTGCTGCTGCTTGGTAGATAATTCTTTGCGAAATGGAACAGTCTCTAATCTCTTTTCTATGTCCTCAGTGTCGACAACGAATGGAAAGGTTTGACAAATGCTCTGGCTGGACTGTTTTGTGCCTCGTTAAATTTTGTTAATCCTTCGAACAGTATGTCTCCGGAATTCACATTCCGACCTAGCGGTATCGTAGAGAGTAATAGTATAAACTCTAGTCATTTACGCTATTCATCACTGCCAAGAGAAATAGTTTGCACAGAAAATTTGACACCATTCAAAAAATTACTGCCATGCGATTCTAAGGTATACTTCTAAAGAATGATTACCCTTTAATTGTAAAAAGAAGTTTTAATATGATATTTCTCATTTATAGAAAGGTTTAGCAGCATTGTTGAATTCAGCATACATTCATAATACAAATTACCATTCCATTGGAGTTCACTTCCGCGTGATATGTTCCAACGCAGTGTGTACAAAAACATCGTTAGAATTACGACAGTCCGTTTCGTTAGTATATGATACGATGGTAGATACGTCTCAGGTAATTACCATTTATTGAAGTTTCACAAATCTTGAGATTAATATTATGTTTAACGTAGGACTGGTCAATTCTAAAATTCTTTGGAATGGGTATTAAAGGGGCGTGTCCTCTCGCCTCGTTGAGCAATATATACGTAGACGTTTCTAATAACAATACAAATCAGATTTACCGATTAACACCTCAGCCGAGTGCTAAAATTACTAGTCTTCGAGGTGGTCAACGGAACGAAATAGCCGTGTACGATATTAGAGCACATTCCGCAAAAGGAATATTTAATATTGGAGTTACTCATAACGCTGGCGCCAAAGTTAGTCTAAACTATCCATCGATTTTATATGCGAATAGATATATTATCGGTACGTGTAAAATACTAACTTGCAAATGTTGGTGGATAAGAGACCCTGTAAATTTTGTTTCTTTCGCAGGATACGGGCAGGAAAGGGGCAGCCTGGTAACAAAGCTCTATAACAATTACTGGCAACCACTTGATGTGGTTCTGTTAGAAAATATTCCATGGTACTTGCTGGTATATTTTCATTCCGTTACAATAACTTGCGAGGGACAACAGATAGTCCCATGTAAGTAAAAATCCCGGAGATGTCTACATTCCCTATTATATTAGCTTAGGAGTTTCATTGCAATTAATCTCGTGATTGTAAATTACAGTGGCTCAACGTTATCTGCCTGGCAAAGAAAGGAAAAGTCCATACTATCTTGAAATGGTTTTACGTTTACCAGCACGATCGGTGACTAGGTTTTCCATAGAAATGGATTATTCGTTTCTTAAGTGGCAGGAATATCCACCGGATGCTAACCATGGATTTTATATGGGCTCAGCCGTAATTACCGCATTGCTTCCCATAGCGAGAAATTACACTGCGCTACCGCTCGACGGAAGTACCATAACATCTAGGTGAAATAAGCGTATTTTCATCGAAAACGTATAATAGGACCTCATTGATTTTGACTAACGATACAATATTTTAGTTTCAATGCTTCGAGAGCCGGATACTTGGTACAACTGAGAACGGAATCTTTACTTATCAGTCTACCCACGCCCGATTTCAGCATGCCGTACAATGTAATTTGCTTGGCATGCACAGCCGTCGCCCTCGCGTTTGGTCCGCTTCATAATATCTCCACGAAAACGTTAGTCTTGAAGAAAATAGAAATGAATTGGAAAGAGAAATTGTTCGCTTCCTTAATGGAAAAGTTTGTGAAACTAAAAAAGAAAAAACAAGAATAAAAATATGTGATTTATTTGTCTTGTTCCTACATATAAATGTGTTCTTAAAGCGAGATAATTAACTTCGTAATATTAAAGACAAAAATATCGCTCGAGAGTATAAAACACAAATTCGAAATATTATGAGTGTAACGAATTGCAGGAACAATTACGGTTACGCAAAAAGCAAACGGTTGGGAATTGAATTTTATTGTTTTCTTGTTTTTCTCTTTTTTTTCTTCTTTTTTCTCATAACGTTACATAAAGTATCAAAAGTGCACGCAATATTCTGTTGTATAACGTCGGATTAGACACATACCAACTGGAAATACCGAAAAATTTATTGATTTAGTGTTTTACAAACGTTAGTAAGGATCTTATGAAACTTTACAATGCACTGCAAATGATAGAAGTTGCGTGTATTACGTAAGTATTATTAATGTTTAATTATCGTGTAAAATAGAAACAATAAATATTGTAACAAATGTAACGCGCGTACAGAGAATATTTATGCACCAGAGTTTTGAAGGAACTATGGTGCCGGTCTAAGTATTGGGGAAATGTTCATACGCGCATTCAACATTGTACTACGGTATTTGCTTGTACAAGTTTCGCTATCGTTATTAAAAATGTTACCATTCGACCGTCCGCTTGTTTGATTTATCGGATTTGTCGATAAATGAAACTTCGTCGAAGAGAGGTTCTGTAACAAAGATTTTGTTACGTCTGCATCAGTGATGAACTTCAATGGTTTCCTACTTTCATCTGAGAGTGCAGATGGAACTGAATTTTCTTCGTCGTCTGATGAACAGAGGTCGATCACTGTAATCCTGTTCGATGTATTTGTGCAGAAAGTTGTTTCTTTTATTGATTGATCTACAGTTATATCGTTCTCGCCACAGCATTCTGTGACTCTGGAAAGAGATAAATTTCCTACACTTGCCTCATTACTAAGGATCTCATCATAGTCTTTCTCCATCGAGTTCGTGTCATTTTCATCACTCGGGGCTTTGCGTTTAGATGATACGTTCGGCGAAACATTTTCTACCGTTCTCACTGACGCTTCTTTATCGTCGATAGACGGCTTTTGGTCAACACACTTATATTTCAACGGATTTCGTCTGAAATCGTTTATCTGTTCATGTGTCAGCTGTGTCAGAAGAACATATACAGGTCGACAAGCAAGGTATAACAATTGCGAATGTATACTTAACACTAAAAGAAAGAAACAACCTTTGTAATAGTGCTACCAGATTCCAAGCTCTTGACTCAAATGCTTCGGTAACGTTATCATATAAAGAAAACGTTTAATGGTTGAGTACTCACTTGGCTTTCTCTTAACAGTATTTACAAATTGATATTGGTGCACGTAGTCGTCTACAATTTTTTCTTTGTTTGGTTTATACGTTACAATCCATCTGTCGTTACTGAACTCCGCTTCCAACCATTTCGGTTTACATGAACCGTTTAAAACAGGAGCAACAAGATGTCTCTCTATTCTCTCCAATCTTTCTTGCTGGGTGCCTTGTGTCATAGCTTTCGATTTTTTTGCTAATAACATTCCAGCAGGAGATGAAAACGGGATACTCGGACATCTTGCAAAGTTAATAGAACCACGGACACGACGTGAACTTCGCTCAGCGACACTGTTATTGACGGTCATGTCCTCATGGACCTCTGTGACCGTCGCAGTGTTGGCTATTGGCGGGCGTAATCGAAAGTATTCCAAGAAGTGGTCTTGCTTTATCTCAGGTGGTTTCACATTCAATACATCCGGTGTTGTGGACCGCCAATTATTTGTGGTTTGTTCCTGTTCACAGCACATGCGTTCGTGTTCCTATAAAATATTGTAATTAAGTATTTTAATTTTATTTACCTTATATATGTCGCGAGCAATGTGTTTAGTACCTTCATCTTTTCTAGGCCTATAAACTCAGCATCGCAATTATCGCACAAATAAATGTCTTCTGCTGGTGGTTCCACCATTAAAATGGAATGCTGTTGTTGCTGCTGTTTTAACTTATTGGAATTGCAAATAGCAACTCCGTTACACGAGAGTAATTTCTTTCGTGGACTCTCATATCTCTTGTCATAGTTCTATGAACAAGAAAAAAGTATTTTCAGATATATAATGAAACTACACAAATCGAAGTGCAACTCTTTTATATCTGCTGACCATGTTTTCATTACGAAATGTGACTAATAATTTTCCAGTACTTTTGTGATAAAGGCTCGTAGTAGAATCCCAGTTGTTAACATACTCTAGATCTTCCTGTGGATACCGAGCCAGATACGAACAAAAACGTAACAAATATTCGCTTCTGTGATACGTGTAGCATCTAAATACCAATTTCTTCAAATTAGCCATCCAGTTCTAAAATGCAATAAATATGTTTGGTTAGAGTATTATCAATGTATCGTTTGTTACATATTTATGCTCTAACATAGCAAATCAAGTTACTTCATTAATTCTCTTAGGTCTTGCCAAAGGATTTGTGAATTTCACTTCTTTTGGCCACCATCGTGGCTCAGTAATCGCATCTGTATTATCGTGTCCTAGCGAACACTGAACCATGAATGTTACAAAATGTTCCAGTTGTGTCTGAAATTGGATAGTTTTATTAGTCTCATGATATCGGATTTTCTCATACATCTATCCGAAATTAACCAAAAACAAATACTACTGAAATATACAAAAAATTGTAAAATATCTTATTCATACTAATGTAATTTTTTCCAACGATGTTGGATGCCCATTGGCAAACAGTAAAGGAAGATTGGATACTACAGATCCTTCTTCGAAGACATTATTCTCTTTCATCTCCATGGTATCTGTAGTGGTCATCATGGTCTGTCCAGTATGAAGTAGCGGTTTCTTAGGTAAGCCTACCGCGTACTCCTGTTCTTCCAATGTTGAGAATCTCATATTTTCAAAGCTATCTGCATTATTCGATACTATTTTGAGTTTAAGATACAGGATACTCTGTAGTATTCGTTGCTTCTTCTATTTTTACTCTGCATAAAAAAGGTTTGTATAAAATACACTTGCATAATTACAAAACTTGAGGATAAACACGATCAGTTTATTTTAGTACTCTATTGCTTATTTGAGAGTAAGAAACGTTATACAATTGGAAAAGATCAAGTGATGCCAACAAGTAAAAGAATTATGAGGCTGAGAATATGAAAAAACCGTTATGTAAATTTATATTTTACGACTTATATATTACGATTTATATTTTATACGAACAATACAGATACAGATTAATAGTAAGCCCATTTAAAATCAGTGCACAAACGGCAAATTTATTAATTTTCAAAAAATGTTCGTATATTCGTATTCGTATACCTTATTCGATAGTTTTTGTAACGGTCGAACGACCTCTTTCGCACCCTATTTTCAGATGCTTCACTTGTTTAGAGCCCTCTTTACGCCAATTTATATAAAATATGGTGTACAAGTACATAATTACAATGGCAGGCAATGCATCGAAATTTTATAATACGTACAACTATATTGACAAAAGGAAGTTAACTCATATTTCTTTCGTAATGCTTGTGAAACGAAAAGGGCTGTAACGGATTAGAGAAACTCGTACGTGCTTGTGGTACGTGCTTCTTTTATAAAAGTCAATTCACTAAGCCTTAGACGAATACGTCGCAAACGGTACAATAGGAAAACCACAATTGAGGTTCTCGTCTATGTTTCGTCGTATTTGAGTTTAAAAGTAGAAAAAACACGCAAAATACAATAACTCGAACGTATGTATGTGTACGTGCACTGACAGTTCCCTCCTTGAACAAAAGGTCTAGCAATGATCAAGCACGGTTATATTCCAAGATGGCGGTTCGAATCGGTTCAACTCCCGCTCGGTTTCGATCGTTTGGGAGGGCTACTACACCTTCGAAGCAGCAACATCTTCCCTTAGAATCTCCAGTTGTGCACCATACTTTTGCTCCCGCCCTCTTTGTGCGGATACAGCGCTTTCGCGCGCAACATTTTTCCGGATCCGTAAAAAAAACCACTTTTGATGCAAACCACAAAGTTCAAAAGGTTTCAAAGCAGTAGAAATTTCCCGTTCTTTGACCGTTCTTCTTTACCAGTTCCGGCCAATTCCGAGTACTCGCCGTTGCGCATGCGTACTGCTCTTAACGAACTATTTTCTTGCATATGTATTGTATGTGTCTACTTCATTTTTTAAATGATTGAAAACATTATCGAGCGATCTAAGAAAATCAGAACAACGGTACGTTCAAATGTATTCGACGAAATGTAAACCTGATTAATTTGTGGACAATCTACTTGCGAACAGTGCAATTACAATAGCATTGTAAACACATCCGATAGCTAATACGTGTATGTATGTATTCAATTTTCACTTGCTTGACAGATAAAAATAAATCTTCTGTACTATTTACAATATGGCTTGCTTCATTAAAACGAAACTTATATTCGTCCGTAACCATGCAATAAGTATCCTTTTCGCCTTACCCGCCTACATATTTGATCTTTTGATGTTTTATTTGGTTTCGAGTATTTAACACCTTAATGCACGTACGTACATACACATTTTTAATATTAGTTGTATGTATATGTATGGTTACTGTAACTGAAAGAAACGAATAAAATATGAAAACGTGGCGAATAATAATGACACAGGCATTTTGCATCGCACGGTGAATAATTATGGTAAGTATATTATTCTATCGAACATCGGTAATCGTAGAACAGTACATATGTACACCGACGATTGGTATATAATTTTCCATGCTTCTACTTACTTCGTGAGTCGCTGATGAAAATATATGAACTCCCTCTTATGTTGCAATTTGTATTCAATGAGGGTTCATCGGTGGTTAACAATAAATTAAATTCTCATCGTTGACGTTGCGGCGTTGTCATCGTTCAAATTTCCAGCTATGTTTGTATCACGGACTTAGATTTTTGTGGTCCGTGATCGTACGTAGATAAGTCGTTTAACAATGAAAACACGCCTTAAAGCAATTTGGAAGGCGGACGTTGGAAGCGATTCTTCAGCGACGCATCGCGGCTACTATAGTTACCATCCAATGTTAACGACACGGAGTCACCGTATTGTATTCAACGTTAATAACCACGAAAAATGGAGTTACCAGTTACGTATTGTTTGTGTGGACGTTCTTATGATTCCGAACAATTTATGATACAATGTGACGTCTGCAAAGAGTGGTACCACGGGGGGTAAGAATTTTGATTTTCGTCGATCAAACATGATGCTCCGAACGCTACGCTTGAATTATGTCTTGCCAAATGGTATACACACATTCTCCTGCGTTTGCTTTTCACAAGGAATTTTTCAACTATTCGTTTACATTTGCGCGAACGTCATCCCCTAGTTCGTTGTATATAAACAATAATTAAATCGTAGCGTGCGCGAGGGTCAGAATATGTTTTGTTGATACTAACATAACCTATTTTTGAAAGATGCTATACATACCTGCGTTTCCTGAGAACACTATCTAAATAATTAGTACGTTCCGATAGAACGTTTCTAACAGTGTATACAAACACTGTGTATGTTTTCATGCATCTTTACGCAACAATGCGTGTTAACGTTTCTCCTACATTTTCTGTTAGGTGTGTATCCATAAAGGAGTACATGACCATAGACCTCGATAAGTATCACTGTTCACGTTGCGAAGCTATGTGTGGGCCCTCTCTCAGTGGGTATCTTAAAGTTTTATATCCCTCATCATAAGGGTATATATCAAAATTATTATTATTATTACTATTATTATTGCTATTGTTATTATATTTTAGTGAAAGTAAAATTGAACTGGCATAGACACGATTACACGGAGATAGATGCAGATAATAAGCCAGTTCAGACTGGAACGCCAGTATTTATAAGAGAATTAAAGTCTAGACACTTTCCGAAAGCCGATGAAATTGTTAAACATGTGAGGGGCCAACAATTAACTTTTCAATACTTGCAGACAAATGCATTTGAAAATCCTATTATTATTGATGGGAAGGATGGATTGGATATGGTTGTCCCCCCTCCAAACTTCAGCGTTTATGACGTGGAAAGTTACATAGGTATCTATTAGTTGACATTGTTTGTCTCATATTTATATATATATTAAGAAATTGCAATAAATGCGTTTTCCAACATAGGTGGAGACCGAGAGATGGACGTGATCGATGTGACAAGACAAAGCAATATAAGAATGAAATTAAGAGACTTTGTCGAGTATTACAATTCCCCTTGCAGGACAAGGGTTCTTAATGTGATTAGTCTTGAATTTACAAACACTGGGTATACCAATATTCATTGCCTTGCCACATGTTGGCTTTAAATGTTTCTAGGAAATACATGTATATATTGACAAATACACGTTGCAGTCTTTCACCAATGGTCGAAGCACCATACATCGCGCGTAAACTCGACTGGGTCAACTCTGTTTGGCCGCGCGATTGGTCCGAGGATAGTGACATAAAACGTCCTGAAGTACAAAAATATTGCCTAATGGGGGTCAAAGACAGTTTCACAGATTTCCATGTTGATTTTGGCGGCACGTCCGTGTGGTACCATGTGCTGCGTGGGGAGAAAGTGTTTTACCTGATTAGGCCGACTCCCGCGAATTTACAGTTGTATCAGCACTGGATGTGCAGTTCGACCCAGAGTGAAACCTTTTTCGGAGACCAAGCAGACGCGTGTTACAGATGTGTTTTAAAACAAGGCCAAACTATGATGATTCCAACAGGATGGATACACGCTGTTCTGACTCCGGTTGATTCGTTGGTTTTTGGTGGAAACTTTGTACATAGTCTCAACATTCCGATGCAGATACAGTGAGTACTATCGGCACGAAATAGTTCTATCGCTTACATTTCGTATTGCTACTAAATCTCAACGCTTCACAGAATATACGAATTAGAGAAGAAAATGAAAACACCCACGAAATTTCAATATCCAGGTTTTGAGACAATCAATTGGTTTGCAGCAAAGAAATTGTTAAAGGAATTGAAAGAATTGAACAACGAGGGAAAGAAGTGCCCGCCGTATCTTTTACAGGGCGTTAAAGCGTTGCTTAGTATTCTCAAACAATGGAACACGGATAAAGACGTAAGCGCTTCTTTGCCATAATTACAGCTTTTCGCATTGTTCACTCCATAATTCATAGTTCGTCTCTGTTTCAGTACAATATGATTAGCAGGGGACAGATACCGGAGAATATAAACAGCCAGAAGTTACTGAAAGATTTTAGCAAGGAGATTCGTCACGCGGAACGATATTTGATATCGTTGAATCCTCCGAAACCGGAGCGGGAGAGTAAACGAAAAAAAAAGAAACCGTTGAACAAAGATTTCGTCGACTACGACGTAGCCGACAGAATGGTCGATAACCCATTCAAAACGACTCTGAAAGAAACGAATAAAGTTGAAACCACGATTCGTGAACCACTGCCGTCCGGGCGACCGCCTTTAAAATTAACTTTACCCAAACCCATCATGTACCCGTACGTGAAGACTCAGGGCCCATCATTGGAAGAGAAACCCAGCGGACCTCCGAATAGTAAACGGTCCTCGAAGCCAGGAAAACAGAGCCCGACTGTAATTAGATTTAAATTAGGCAACAACGAGGTTGTGAGAAGTACACACGACTCCATCAATGTATATAAAAATTTATCTTCGGATCACCCGCTAGACACAACGAAAGATCTGACATGGAAACAGACTTCTATATACGATTTCCACGATGGTAGCAACGAGAGCGATTACGGTCGATTGACAGTGGATGAATCTCCAAAACGAAAAAAAACGCCGAGAACGAATGCACAGAAACGCGTGAAACGCGATTACGACGGCGACGTAGATATCTTGAGCGATGTACCAAAAAATGGAATCGAAGAACTGTTAAAAGCCTCAGCCTACACTTTAGGAAACGGTACTCAAAGATTGGACGTAACGTATGTGTATCCGTCATTGGTCAAATTAACTTGTTGACTATCGTTATCGAATCGTATATTTAGAAAAAATTACTGGTTTCAGGTCTACGGTGATACCACAGTACAATCAACCAATGCCACCTCCTACAGGGTAAGGTTAGATTATAAAATTTTGCACGTAGATAAATAATACATTTTTAAGCATGTTCGTAAAGCGTAGTCTTTTATTGTAACAAACAGACAACGTTCATTTTGGTTAGCATAGTGCCTTTGCCTTTTACGTTTTTTGGTGTCTTAGTATTTATAAATTGAAAACGACCAGTTCTGGCAGGGCTTCACCGTCGACGCGAGAAGCAATCGCTGGGATGCTCTCGTTCAGCGAGCAGTGCTATTCTACCACGTCCGACAACACATCCAAATCCACGAAAACCGCTAAAACGAAACCGCAAGAGGATGACGATGATGACGACGATCAGTCGATAGAAAATATCGATAAAGTTCATCAAGATGACGATTTCAGTACGTACAGAGATAACATGATGGCTTTTTTTGCACTGTTCATTTGTTTAGTTACCAGAGCACAAAGTAGAGGTGTTGAATTGTTCTTTACTGGTAGTTTACCAATCGTTCTTTTCTTGCTGTAGTTTACCCGGCACTGGACGCTTCGGACGACGAGGATTATATATTTAAATCGAAGTCTAAGAGTCAAATAGACGAAGCGTGGAATCCAAAAGCGAGGGTGGGACCTTTGTTGCCCAAAACAAATCGTCCAGCTCGGGAAGGTGTAAAGAAAACGTCTGTTGAGAAGGGTTTAGAGGCGGCCGCGGCGAAACGAGCCAAACAATCGGTTCGTAAACCTTGTTCTTCTCCTAATTGTTTGTTTTTTAATTATTTACTATAACATAACAGCAACGCCAATAATTCAGTCATTGTCATTTATCAGAATACAAGCAAATTCAACAGCTCAATGTTCTCCGAATCATGCACATATAAATTAGTGTTCATATTACATGTAAATGTAAATAACGTAGATTGCCTATTCAAGAGCACAGATTAATTCATTTATGTCCAACTTCATCCTAATTTCCATGATTCTTTCATTCTTGCATACCCGTGTTGCGTAGGATGATTATCTGGATAACAACATGGAGAAGGGCTCCAAGAAAAAATTGGTAGGCATATTATACGGCTTTATGCTTCATTTCGTTGAACATACTTACATACATTGCTTTTTCTTTCATTCTTCAATACGCTTTCAACTGTCTACTGTTCTTTGTTTTTACATTGCAGTTTCACGAATTATCTACCGCCGATAGAACAAATATAGTGACATTCACAGCGGCAGCACACTTCCCAAACTAATCGTTTATGATCATCGAAAGGACAAAATTTAGGAGTGACCAACGCTAAGTCCATTTCTACAGACAGAATCGTCGCTATATTTGTTTCATTGGCAGGGTATTATACGTTGTTTACGTATTGTTACTAATCTCGTTAATGTTTATAAAATTCTATTTGTCCTAACTTTCATAATCTTTACTTGCATAGTATGATAGCATACCAGAAATTAACCAGTTGTTATTTTATATGACGGAATAGTGTACAGCTAAGAGGACATACAATAAAAAGAAGCCGAAGTCCTTGCCTGTCAGCACGGCGGGTGGAACGTCGACTTCATCTTCGGAAGACTGTGAAAAGAGGAATATAGGATTTGGCTCAATACTAACAAGTCCTAACAGACTAAAGGATGTTAAAGCGAAATTGGCTGCCCCGGTTCCAGTTGGTAACGTATCCATCGCATATCATTGTATTATTCTTTGTACGCACGGATAAATTACGTCACTGTGAAATTTTTAGAACGGAAACCAAAGAAAGGGATGAAAACAGCGAAACAACGGTTGGGAAAGATTTTAAAGTTACACAAAATGATGCACTAAGTAGCAAAAGAGATCTGTCTTGTGAACAAATTGAACATCACGTCATTTTTTTCATTTGTGTATAAAATTCATCGGTAAACATTACGTTTAGAGGAGGCAGTTCGAATAAGCTTGACCTTAACATATGTTGTCAAAGTTATCATTCTGAACAACTTCTCCCTATGGATGTTACCGTCGTTTGGCCTTCGTTTCCGAGATACTTACAAAAATAGTTCTATATCTACATATGTGGTATATGTATGTTGTCGGCAATGGGTGAATATTACGATTAGAGAAGGTAACTCCGATGACCTTGATCTTGAGACATGTTGTCAAGGACATTATTCTGAAAAGCTTTTCTCTATTCATGTTACCGTCACTCGGTCTTCGTTTCCGAGATATTTACGAAAATAGTTCTATATCTATATGTTACCAGCAATGCTTTAGGTCTTTATCAAAATATGTTAGGTAATTATTAACTTAATTCTTGGATATTTCATACTTTGCTGAAAAATATGAGGCATTCTATACAATGCCTGTATTTCACACATTGTCCATAACATGTATACTAGGAAAAAAGACAAACTTAACCCAGACCTAACCTTGATATAACCTAATATAAAAATAATTTTCGGATATTTCACACTTTGCCTGAAAACGTCAGACATTCGATACAATGCCTGCATTTTATACATTACTAGTAACGTATATGCAGATATAGAAAAACTATTTTTGTAAACATCTCGGAAACGATGGCCAAGCAACTGTAACATCTATAGGGAAATTTGTTGAGAATGATGACCTTGATTGACATCATACATCAAGGTTAAGATTATCCCACTGCCCCCCCCCCCCTCCCTAAACGTAATATTTACCAAGTCATCTAATAGATGTACATTGCTATGTAAATATACCTTATTCGTTAAGGGTAGCATATTTACCATAAGATTCTAGTTTTAAACACTACGACCGCTTTCTTTTTTAAAAGATATATTTATATTTATTGTATCTCACTATTTAATTGTAAGAGGGTATTTAGTGCATTTTGATACTGACTTCAAACAGGTCGACAAGGCGTTATTCGCGATTCGGTAAGCACTTTGTCGAAAATTTTCCTAAACACGCGATTTGATTTTAACGATTCGAGTTGGAAACAACTCGGTAAAAGAACAAATTTATTAACTTATGTATGTATAGAGGCTGTAGCTTACTAATATTTCTTTTAATTAACTATTGAATAGTTAAAATAAATTCTACACGTCACAATGATTATACGACAATTGAAGGGACGTTGGAACCGGTTATTCGGGTTCTGCATATTTGCTAACAAATTTTTTACCTAATTGTACATTATAGCGATTTCGGTGATTCGTACTTACGCGCGCATGGAGATTATAGGAAATTATCATATCATCTCGATTCACGATAATATTTATTAATTTATCTTATAGAATAAGTTCCATCCATTTAAACATAAGCGAGACTATAATCCATTTTACAATAATGATTTCATTTATTTTTATTTCGTCAACGGATGTACATAAATTCTTTTATATTCATCTACAACATTGTAACCAATAATGCAAATGCAAGAGAACAATGCAAGAATTGCACTTACGCATTGACTTTGTTACTTCGATTTTACGTCGCAATATGCACCGAATTCACATTTTTTTATTGTATAAGGATACATCATTGACTCTGCAAATAAGAATTACCATGGGACTGGTATAGTATTAATAACCGTTAGTTTTTATATACTTACCCAACAATAACTGATTGTTAGATAATTTTTGGACATTATTGTGAAATAAGTATTTTTCTTGCAAATAAAGACTTCAAGTATCGACATCATTTTCGTATTTACAAGATTATTCACACATTTGAACCGTTTATTTTGAAAGTGGCATAAGTCACTTTTTTCTTTTTTTTTTTTTTAAATGAAAAGTTACCGTTCAATTNACATGTTGTCAAGGACATTATTCTGAAAAGCTTTTCTCTATTCATGTTACCGTCACTCGGTCTTCGTTTCCGAGATATTTACGAAAATAGTTCTATATCTATATGTTACCAGCAATGCTTTAGGTCTTTATCAAAATATGTTAGGTAATTATTAACTTAATTCTTGGATATTTCATACTTTGCTGAAAAATATGAGGCATTCTATACAATGCCTGTATTTCACACATTGTCCATAACATGTATACTAGGAAAAAAGACAAACTTAACCCAGACCTAACCTTGATATAACCTAATATAAAAATAATTTTCGGATATTTCACACTTTGCCTGAAAACGTCAGACATTCGATACAATGCCTGCATTTTATACATTACTAGTAACGTATATGCAGATATAGAAAAACTATTTTTGTAAACATCTCGGAAACGATGGCCAAGCAACTGTAACATCTATAGGGAAATTTGTTGAGAATGATGACCTTGATTGACATCATACATCAAGGTTAAGATTATCCCACTGCCCCCCCCCCCCTCCCTAAACGTAATATTTACCAAGTCATCTAATAGATGTACATTGCTATGTAAATATACCTTATTCGTTAAGGGTAGCATATTTACCATAAGATTCTAGTTTTAAACACTACGACCGCTTTCTTTTTTAAAAGATATATTTATATTTATTGTATCTCACTATTTAATTGTAAGAGGGTATTTAGTGCATTTTGATACTGACTTCAAACAGGTCGACAAGGCGTTATTCGCGATTCGGTAAGCACTTTGTCGAAAATTTTCCTAAACACGCGATTTGATTTTAACGATTCGAGTTGGAAACAACTCGGTAAAAGAACAAATTTATTAACTTATGTATGTATAGAGGCTGTAGCTTACTAATATTTCTTTTAATTAACTATTGAATAGTTAAAATAAATTCTACACGTCACAATGATTATACGACAATTGAAGGGACGTTGGAACCGGTTATTCGGGTTCTGCATATTTGCTAACAAATTTTTTACCTAATTGTACATTATAGCGATTTCGGTGATTCGTACTTACGCGCGCATGGAGATTATAGGAAATTATCATATCATCTCGATTCACGATAATATTTATTAATTTATCTTATAGAATAAGTTCCATCCATTTAAACATAAGCGAGACTATAATCCATTTTACAATAATGATTTCATTTATTTTTATTTCGTCAACGGATGTACATAAATTCTTTTATATTCATCTACAACATTGTAACCAATAATGCAAATGCAAGAGAACAATGCAAGAATTGCACTTACGCATTGACTTTGTTACTTCGATTTTACGTCGCAATATGCACCGAATTCACATTTTTTTATTGTATAAGGATACATCATTGACTCTGCAAATAAGAATTACCATGGGACTGGTATAGTATTAATAACCGTTAGTTTTTATATACTTACCCAACAATAACTGATTGTTAGATAATTTTTGGACATTATTGTGAAATAAGTATTTTTCTTGCAAATAAAGACTTCAAGTATCGACATCATTTTCGTATTTACAAGATTATTCACACATTTGAACCGTTTATTTTGAAAGTGGCATAAGTCACTTTTTTCTTTTTTTTTTTTTTAAATGAAAAGTTACCGTTCAATTGTAATTAGTGTTACCATTAACTCGATTTTTTTTGAAAAAGTGACTTATGCCACTTTCAAAATAAACGGCTAATTTGTTCATATATTTTCTAACACTTATGTATTTATCTACCGCGCTTTCGGGCGACAACGTATGCTTTGCATTTCCCGCGGATGCAAAGTGCAAGGATGCAGAAACGCATGCGCGTGATCGTGGTTGCTCGGCAGTATTCGATGGTACCTCGGCTGGTACTGATCGTTTGTGTCAAACTTGATACTGATTCGCCGTGTATCGAAGAAAACGTTTGTCAACCTTTCTACGTTGATTGTATTTGCATTTCTTTCGTGAACCTTCAACACGTCGGGTTTCGTGTCAAAATTTCCGCGTTTTTATTCAAAAAGTTCGTGTCATTTCATACCACCCGTCGTGTCATGTGTGCTCGTGAACTCGAAACGCCTGCATTGTGCAGAAAATTCTGAAACGGTGATAAATTAACAGACAAGAAGGGATTGTGATGCTTCATAATACCGATTGAGATTTCGATTGTTTGTTCGCGACCGCGTGGAATATTGAAGACGCCATCGCGTGTATTTGACGCCCGCAAGGTAAACGAAAGTCATATGTCATATGTTTATTTTTAATGCAAATATTATAGAAAAGATACTGTATCTCGCATTCCACGCCACGCAATATCGTTTTACGTAGGGGTAAGATTGCATTTTGCTTGTCTGTACGATTGCATCGATTAAATGTTTTCTTGTTTGAGCAACAATGCGGTTCTTCAGTGACTAAACCACATCTAAATTTGGCAGCGTAAACATTTTCAAGTTCCCGTGGTATTTTTACCCTTTCTTTTCATTAATCGACGGGGAAAAAGAATCAAAGAGTTTAGGGCACAAAATTTTACATATATAATCAATGCGATCAATAAAGCTCGGTTGATAAGATGACATCTCTGAAATGTAGCAGTCAACACTAAGAGCAAAATACTTACACACACACACACAACGATTACAGCAACTTCCGCATCTGCAGTAACACATACATCTGTCCTGCGGTCTAAATACGTACTTGTACGATTTTAACCTTAAATTAGATTCGTCACGAGCATTAATCTATGTTTACCGCGTACATATTTCGATCGAAAACTATCTGTCGTAGCGCGTGAAAGCATTAACACACAGGCAGTGTTACAATTTTCAAGTTACACAATCGTGTTTGCGTATCCCAACACGTAGCGATAACAGCTGATATTCTAGAAATGTCTGCATTCTCTAGTTTCGTACGTTTTATTGCAGCAAAGAAAACACAAAAGATTATGGTTTGTCCGTGATCCTAACGTAAACGAATTTGCATCGAACGGGCGGAATTGTTGCGAATAGAAACTGCAATAATTCGCATAGCGAACATCTTTGCCATTTGTAGGTAAATGCATTCTAAAAGCTATCAAGAGTTATCGTTCGGACACGCGTAACACGATCTATGTAAAGTTCAAGGCTCTTTTTATGATGACACGACGAATATACAGTCGGCAGACATTCCGGCGTTATATTCTTAAAAGTCTAAGAATATAATAGAATTACAAATGTAATTGGCAAGTATTTTAGTCCGTTCGAAATTTTCAGCGTACACTAATCGTTTACATTTGTCATCGGAAATGACTCGTAGAAATGAATGGAACATCTGGTAAATTATTTGGCATAGGTAAAAATGTTGGTCTGTCAACAGGAAATAAATTTCTTTCGACGAACGCAAGAGGCACTGTTCGATTTCGGTAACCGGTGGAAACGTAAGAAAGAAATTAGATTTCGTTACGATTAAGACCGATGAAATCCACGATTTCATTTTGTTATATTCAAATATTTGATTTCGTAAATGTCGCTGATTGACAGATATTTTATAAAGACAAATCACATATTAAATCAAATCAGATTAAACCGAGGTTTAATGCAAGTATACCTTGAGAAAATAGTATTCGCATGCTGCTGCATTTTACTATCGATTGTGAATAATATCCTAATTTTTTTTCGACATCTCGATGAGCTCTGTATGGGTGACAGAGAACTTTAGGGTAATTTATTGAATTGTTTAGTGATGCTGATTGTTTGGCAAGGAGCTCGCCGTTGCCTGAGTTGCAGCGGGCAGCGCACCAATCAAGGCTACCAACTGCGCTGTCGTCGCGGGTCAGTCGGTGATAGATTTGATCGATATCAACTCGTTGAAACCCGGTAAGTCCATGACACAGCCCGCAAACATCAAATGTTGGAATCAAGCATTAATCGTAGACGTTTCGCGTCCATATAAATCTGCATCCATACACACACGTATACGCACATATGTATATAGCATTCATCTCTGAACACTCTAATAGCAATAACAGACTGTTCTTGATTCGGGCCGAGTTCAATGTGCGGCACTTTAAATTAATCTGTTGCCGGTGGCTATTAGTACTAATGGACACTCGAGTATTTCCACGTATACAGGGTGGGCAAATGTGACGGTGAAAATTTTTTCTCGGGGTCAGTGTTTTTTTTTCTATAGGATTTCAAGGTCATCGATACCTTCGTAAACGAAACACTACACCTTTGTCTCGATGTCCTTACAGAAGAGGAAAATCATTTTCAACGATCCGGATAACAATACCACAATTGTTCAGGTACTCTTGAACAATAGTGTATATACATTGCATGTTCATACAGACGCGTGCACACGTCCTTTGGTCGGTTCGCACACGTGTGCACCACCATTTTATACGTGAAAGAACTTCCGACACTATGTCAACGTATCTACTTGGGGGGGCTCGAGTAATCCTCCGTTCTCGTTGACCCGTCCAATTGATCGAATCGTTTAATCGTGGAAAAATTTTTCGTAGCCGCGACATTGAAAACATTGCGGCAAACACGTTTGATAATTTACGACACATTTATCATTGGCTTTGCGAATACGGTTCGCCAACACTCGGACAACGGACACGCGTGCATACATACGAACATATATTTATGCCTTCGTAGGTTCTCGCTCTGTTACCTTCGTTTGAACATTTTAGTCTTGAACAGCCATGATTTTGAACCGAGAACATATAACGAATTAATTATGTTTTTTGAAATCGTCGACAAATTGTCAGACATTGCCCCGAGATAAGGCTGGAATTTCAGCGCGATGACAAATGTTCGTACAAAGAATCTAACGTTGAGAAATCACTTTGTTAATGACCGTTATGGCAATGAACCAGTTATCTAGTTTCCCTGACACTTCTGCGATGATCTCCTTTTTTTG